CTCCCAAAATTGCGTGAGATAATACGATCAAACCAAAAATTTTTTTTTGTTGCATTACTTATGATCGCCAGTGTATATCAAACAATATTGAATTTGCAACATATCGCAAAATATATTTCATCTTGTTTATCCTGTACATCATAACTGTCGATTTGTGATTTGTATCACTTGAATCGAAAGTTTCTAACTAAATTATAGTGTTATAACTTTTTTTTTTTTTTTTTTTTTGTTAAACCAGAGAAAACCTTACATAGGCGACTAGGAGTTGCCTCCTAGACAAGTGTGAGATTCCTACTCACTAAAAACTCTGGGGTTTATCATCATCGATATTCAAAAAAGAATATCTCAGAAAGCGGTGTAAATGTTTCATTGTTTTTTACAACCTGGCTTGTAAAAAACGAAACATTATGATTTGGCCCTGGGAGGATTAAAACCTCATGCTTACACCAACCAGGGCAAGGGACCTGCCAGGAGGGGGGAGTCTGCAAATCTTACTTACCAAAATGCCGCAGACAAGCTTACCATAGCGCCGATAGGCAAGCCCACCCTTGGCACTGTGATAAATAAGACCAGATACTTTCTAACTACTTACCTCTTTGAAGGAAACCCTTCAGAAACGAAAAGGTTAAATAGGTGCAGCAACTGAACACAAGTGTGTAAAGAATGAGACACTTATCTTAAAGTTAACCGCGTTAGACGAAGATTTTGGTAAGAAACGCGTCCAAAAAAACGTCTATTTGTAAAAAAAGTAAATAAAGTATATGGACGAGTAAAGTATATAGACGAGTAAAGTACATAAACGTGTAAATAAATATAAACGAGTAAAAAAATAATATAGGAAGAAAAAAAATAATAAAGGAAGTAGAAAAAAAGACAAAACGCATAGTACAAAGAAAGTGTGAGAAAAACTATTTTTGATTAATAATACCGAAAATTCATGTGACTATCGATTATCGATTAGTAACGGTAAAAAATTTCCCATCGATTATCATCGCAATCTGCGATATCTCACATGGATAGGCAGAAAAAACGGACTCATTAACCGGTTTTTATTTACAAACAGATTGACATGACCTGGATTTTAGTCATTTTTGGGCGACAATATCATGGGCTAATTAGCCCATTTCCTCAAAACTGTCGATGACAAAATAAATACGAAATACGTACGTACGTACGCACGTAAATACTCTAATTAGGCATCAGACCGCATGTTCAGATCTACATGAAACCCCTTGAATGTGTGATGGGTTAATGGCGCAGTAATTACAAAAGTAATTTGCGACAAAGGTACATCAAACAAATTTATCTGTTTCCTAACCTTTATGGTATTATAGAGGTTAGTCATGTCACGAAAAGTGTAGGCTCCATGATCTCCAGACCATTCGGACTTAAAATTAGGCAGTACCGGTACGAATAAAAACTTGATAAGCTGTAAAAATTTACTTAAAGATCACAGGATCAGCACTTTCTTTTATGATATGCAAAGCTTCGTATTTCGTATTTCGAAACATAAGCAGGAATCAATTAAACGCGTGCAAACTCGCATTATAAATAAATAAACATCTAAAAATAATTCTGTTAATTAAAATAGATATATTTTTACATTAATTAATGCACAATCACTGTGGCTAATTACAGTGCCATTCGGATTTCTTTACGAGAATCCCTTATTAGGCTAAAAAGGGGCTGGTGTGCTATAGTAAAAAAAGAACTTGTTTGCTGTCAAAGGAAAGCCTGATTCAGAAAATCGAAATTTTACGTACCGGTACGCACGTACGTAAATACAGGTTAAATTTCACCACCCATTTTATCATAAGATGTACGTAGATGTCGTGACTAAAGTTGGGATCCGACTAAAGTTGGAACTTCAGTTGACTGAGACTGAAATTAGCCCCTGAAATTAGATCATCCTGCACGCATTAGTTAGCTGTTTTAGGCAGGTGCCAACTTCAGTCGGATCCCAACTTTCAATCTGTTTGTAAATAAAAACCGGTTAAGAGTAGAATCGAACAGGCTGATTGTAAAATAAATCCGCAGATTGCGATGATAATCGATGGGAAATTTTTTACCGTTACTAATCGATAATCGATAGCGCAGTCACATGAATTCTCGGTATTATTAATCATAGTTTTTCTCACACTTTTTTTCCTCTTAATATTCGTTTATATTTATTTACACGTTTATGTACTTTACTCGTCTATATACTTTACTCGTCTATATACTTTATTTACTTTTTTTACTCGTGTTATTTACGAATAGACGGCGTTTCTTACCAAAATCTTCGTCTAACGCGGTTAACTTTAAGATAAGTGTCTCATTCTTTACACACTTGTGTTCAG